GCGCGGGTGCGCGCGCGGGCGCGTGCGCGGGTGCGTGCGCGTGTGCGGGACGCGGGCGCGTGGCGGTGCGCGCGCGCCCTGTGCTTCCCCCTCTTCGCGCCGCTCCTCCTCCTCAGCTCGTCGTAGTGCGGCTTGGTGCACGTGTGGATGAGCACGTGCTTGGCGAAGTCCCGGCGGTCGCGCGTGGTGTAGTCGCAGTCCTTAAATGATGGTGGCAAATTTTAGCCAAACATCGATACATCGCCGAAAGCTTTTCGATGTCGATGAAAGCAACGACAAAATCATCAATATTTAAAATATCAATTTTGAAAATTGATTTTAAATATCTATATAACATTAAACATTGAGAAGAAGAAGTAGAAAGATGTCCTGTTTCTAATGTAATATATATCTCTTCAATATTAGTTTAAAGTACAACTTGCCTTAACTTTGACTCTCATCTTAATTCTCAAATATATATTCTATGTAACCAAGGTTCAAATTGCAGTTTACGTTACAAAACGATATTACCATGCAATAATAAAAAAGGTAGGAAACTGGAGAAGGGATGCGAATGGCAAATTGCTTCGAACCACTTCGAGGATCAACGAGTGACAGTTTTCAATCCATAAATCCGCAAATAAATGGAAATTGTATTTATATCGTTATATTGTTTTTTGAAAGTATTCATGTTTCTGAACAAATATATCGACCTGAAGAATACATCGAAATCAAACCATCGATGTTATAATATCGATGTTTCTGATAAAAAATATAGATGTTTTAAAAACATCGATTTTTCTTCCATCCCAGAGTCCTAAAGAAAACAAAAATATTCGATTATATACGAGTATATTTTTAATGTCTTACTTATTACCAACGAGCAAATGGAATGAAAAAATATTAGAGACCTATTGTTTCTATTTTGAAGTGAGGGGGAGGCAGAAATTTGAGCATGGAAGGAAATGAAGAAACTGGACTCAGTACATGAAATATGTTAAGAAGGATCCTACGAGCAGACTATTGCACAACCGGTTGCATGTTAATTGGGGACAAATAGGAGAAAAATGAGAATAGATATGGGTAAAAAAGTGAGAAAGGAAATAATTAGGGGGAAGGAGGAATTAAAGGTAATTTTTGGTGGGAATTAGATAAGAAGATAGAGACTGAGAAATCTGATTCGGAAAGGGAATGTTTTTGGAATCATAAAGGATACTCATTGGAGAAGTGACAAGGCTAAGAGGAGAAAGGAATGATTAAAGTGAAAATTTATTCAAAGGACAGAAATCAGTTTCTGCAGGGAGATAACGAAAAGATAAAAAATCATAACAAATGGAATAAAATAATACAGTTGGACGACTTTCCTGATTATTTAAAAGGAAAATGTAAAGAACATGAGAGAAAAAAGATAGCTAGATATTAGAAAATGAAACTAGAGCGAGTAGATAGTGGATAAATAGTGAAGAAAAAATGCAAAATTTGTAGGAAGGAAAAGAAAGTCGGGGAATACATATTAAAAAGATGTCGGATTTTTTAGGAAGGAAAAATGTGGGAAACGTGGAATGATCAGGATCAGTTGAGGTGAAGGTGAAAGAATTAGTGTGGTAGAGAGATACAGGAAAGTTCATAGTATGCAGCCTATTACTGTACGCAACTTGTATTGCATTGAATACAGCTTGTATTGTACATGTATCTAGCGAATCCAACTATTGTATATTTACAAAGTTGTGAAAATAAAATAAATATTCACATAACCTATGAAGTATAATGAACGTACTCGTATTGTAAGCAGAACACGGCCATTTTTTGGCAGAAAAAACCGCTTCGTGAGTCTCTGATTCCGAAAAAGTGAATAGTTCATGTTGCTACATTGAGTAAATTACTTCCTCCAACACGTTGTATCAGAAACTCGAATATCAATCATAATATCCGAGTTTACAATACTTTTTAGTTGTATCATTGCACTCACGCCAATGTTAAGATGTATTACGGCTGTTAGAAATATGGTTAAGATTGGTGCAAATAGATAGAAGATACATGCAATTTTATACTTGAAAATTGATTTGTAACTATGGATGGATGAATGGATGAAGGTGTCACGCATACATCTATCAAAGTAGAATATTTTGAGCTGAAACGTAGGGTGTAAGATATAGGTACGTTGTTCCGGAGATCATTTAGATATTTTAATTTTAGGAGACACTTTACATGAAGACCCTATGATATTTTGTACATTTTTCGGAATATATCCGAAATGTTTTGCTCATTTAGAACAATGTGCACTTATAGGTAAAGTATAGTTCCAATTTTTATTAACGCATTCGAATTTTAGAAAATTGCAAAAATATTTATATTTAAAACCCAAATGGTTTTCGTTTATAAATAAGTTTGAACTTTTCGCTCATCCAAATTAGTGATTTTTGCTTTATAGTAAATGAAAGGTAAATGGCTCTAGATGTTTAATCAATTGCTTTTTTCACCGGTTTTATATAATAAATACTAAATATCAGTGAAATCAAAATATCAATGGAATGAGAGCTTAAGTGTGAAGTTGTTGCAGAACAAACTAATATAACGAATTTTCTGAATTTCGAAGTGTTTTTGAATTCATAGATGTAAGAGTAAGTAAACACAATGTCTAGCAATTGTTTGACACATGTGATTCTTCACAAACAAATCACTGGTTAAAATTTCGCGATGTTTTACGTTTTTAAAGAAAAGTCAACCGTAGGATATCATACACATCTTGGTAAAAAGAAAACCGTTCCTTTAATTTTCAGAACGAGGCTCATCTCTGCGCCCACAGTGAAAAGTGTTTCAAAAGGTGTAAACCTGCATTATTTGATAGGTTTTCGAGACCTAATACTGAACGGCATAACACAATTTTTTGAGGGGGAGGGGTTCTATTTTCCGTAGAACTTTTCTAAAATTTCTACAGTTACGTCCCACATGTATCATTTTCGGAATGCACTCTCTCTCTACGCCAAATTTTAAGATATTCCAACTTTTCAAACCATTTTTCCATCATATTGATTCTCTGGGATGTATTCTACATAATAATTAAATAATTTTTAAATAATAGCATGCACTTCTTTTAAACATGTGTAATTGTGAGTAATATCACAAAAAGGAGGAAACATTTTGGAACGTATATAACGCGCATTCCCACTTATTTAAAAAAATATTATTGTTGTGTAGTAACATTAAGAAGTGACTTGGTAAGATATCTCAACGCGTCAACCGATGTCACGGCAGTGTCTCTGACCGGGAGGTCCTCCGGTTCGTGTCCCGACGGTGGCGTTTTTTCCACACTAGCTACATAGATCCAATTCAGTCGCTGTCTAGAGAATTCTATAGGCCGGCTGCTCTGACCGGTAGTTTTCCTTTGTTTCTCCGATCAACACCAGGCGAGAGCCGGAACAAACGGCCATGGACCACGCGCGATCTTTTCTTCCTCCTTACCGTTATCACTGTCACGTCCTCCCTTCTTACAAACGTTACCCTTAACATGCACTTGGGCGTCGTTAACACGAGGCCAGAACCGTTAGGTCGGTGAAAGTCGCTGCGGGGAGGAAGGGGTTGAGCCTGAACTCCGGGAGTTTGCGCTCTGGCGGGTGACTCAGGTAGAACCGCAGAGCCAAAAATACGTAGGCTGTAAACTCGAGGATGCTAGCCTGCGAGCCTCGTTTACGGAAGCAGGCAGCCAAACCTGAGAATCCTGTGTGGGGGCTAAACCGGCGCCTGCCGGCGAGCCTATCTATGGAACAGTGGTGGGGGTGTCAGCCTCAACTATTTAACGCGGCGCCATCTGCGCCCGCGTTCTCATTCAGTTTGCATCGGGAAGCTTGTACGTGTGTACAAGGGGTGTAGGAGTGTGGCGAGATGTCCGGAGAGTAAGGGCAGACAATCTCGCGTGCTGTAGGCACACGGTCCGCCACGACCGGGTTAAATTTTGGCGTCAGGCCATGTGACGGTAATTGTCACGGGACGGAGGTCCGACACCGCGCATCACGCGTGGCTTGTATTTTTCTGCGGTAAAGCAGTGTTCTGAAAGAAAAGGTTGCCGGAGTGTTTAATATTAGCAATTCATTGTAACTTGTAACATAATCTTTAATATATTATTTTTCTTTTGTTATTGAAATTTATTTCTTATTTCACTACGTCACACACTACACTACTCTTGTATGTTTCGGGGCTTAGGACTTTCACTCGCGGGAGCGGTACCGGGAACGGAGGCCCCCAAAAGCTGTCAAGAAAATGTATACCGGATTTTGTATTCTAGCTGAGGACTGATTATTTCATGTTTCTAGGCACGTACACATCTAAGGTCATTACTATCGTAAGTTTGGTGCGTGTTTTTATCACGGGAGGTTGTGGTGTGACGAGATGCGGTGCCGTCTTACACATACATTTGTGGGTTTTCCTCATCCAGGTATCTCCCACCTGTGGGGTACCGACACAGAAGGGACAAGCTCTTGACTGGTCTGCAGACTGGTGTGGCAATGTAGTGCATATTAGTGTGTGTGTGTGTATGTATGTATGTATGTGAGAGGTGAGAATAGGACAAGGAAGAGGAAGGAAATATCGCGAGCGGTCCTTAGCCTTTTTGTTAGAGTTTCAGCATATGTCTGGCACTGATCGGAGAACCCATGGAAAAACTGCCGATGAGTGCAGCCGGTCGCTATAATTCTCCTCAAGACAGAGGTGGAACTCGACCTAGCAATCTAGCTAGTGTCAAAAATGATGCCACGTTGCGACTTGAACCCTAGGATCTAGGAACAAGCACTGCAGCAACATGAACTGATACTCTGAGCCACCTAAGCCGGTGTACACTACACTTACGGGACTAATTATCATAGTAGTTAACGCGCCCGGAAATGAGAAATAATCAATCAATCAATCAAGGCAGTTTTCCATCGTAAGAATCGCCCACCCCTACCTTGCAGCTGTAGATTTGCTGGCTAACATGCGTGCGCATGTGCCGCTTCAGCAGGTTCAGCCACGGGAAGCTCATGTCGCAGATGGGGCACACGTGGCGGTTGGGCGAGTGGCGCCCGCGGTGGCGAGTGAGAGAAGCTCTGTGCTGCGGCGCGCCGCTATTGCCGCCGCCTCCGCCGGTGCCGCTGCTGGTGCCGCCTACTGCCGGCCGGCTGGGGAACCTCTTGCCTGTGGTGGTGACGGCGCCCGGCGTCAGCGGAATTCGCTTCGTGGCGAGGAAGTGGATTTCCAGGGAGCGCATCATCGTGATGACATCGTTGAGGAAATCGTCTTGGGGGGCCCTGATTGAGTATCCTGGGAGTCAAACATCAGGAACAGATTGTGAATGGACGGCATCCATTTGTCTACGAATGTACGTACGTGTATTTTTAAATTTGCTAAAAACAACCAATCTCAGTTTTCTTATTGACTTCGTTACGTTAGGACGTTTCTAAACTTTCTTATACCAATCATGAAAGTGAAGAGCTTGAGAACAGATATTCTGTGCTACATTGTGTTAAAAATTGTATCCTCATTATTTGCTCGTCAACCTTGTTTTGCGTTCAGAAGAATTAAATCTTTTACAATAAATAGCATAGCAATATATTTTTGTTAGACTCTGGCTCTACGAATCGATTTCAGTCTGAGATGACAGAAAACTATCTGCTCCCCAGCCCTTTATTTATAATAGAAAATAAATCTCGTAGAAGTATGTGGAACTGCTTCAAAGATAATATGTAAACTGAAATATAAAATTCATTAACATCATTATTGAAAGAAATATTTTTCGGGCGGGGTCGTTTCCTGTTTGATAAACACCGCCAAATTCAATGACAATTTAGTAGAAAAAGTGGATGCGTAAAAAGTGTTTTACTCGTGTTTCTCAAACACTGATGATGTACACTGTCAGTGTGGATAGGCGACGGAGCGTTGCAAAATCTATCAGATCTTCTGAATCGCCCTTCAATGGAGATGCTGGAATGTACAGATTGTAATCAGTAAATGATGTAGGAAACAATACTTAACGCAAAACTTGTGTAAACACTTCATCAAGAGTGTATATCTTATATTAAAAACCATGCTCTTAATTAAAGAATGTATTTCACATCCAGTTTACTTTTTTGCGTACCATTCTGGATATACTTACTTATATTTACATAAGTGCATGTCCTGTAACAAGAGATGTTCTATTGCATGAAACAGGTCATCATTTTTTATAAATCTGTTGTTATTATGCATATTATTACCCAATACTTTCAGAAACCGATACAACGTTATTTTGAACAATACAACCTAATACAATAACAATACAACTTAAACAACGATAATTTTGCACATAGTTGAAATTATTTTCAAGCTATTATGAAAGAAATGACTAAAATTCACACTGATTTTTATTGCTATTCGAGATTCCTATACAGTCCTCTTGATTAGCTGCGGTTCCATGTAGTTCTATATAGACGTACTCGTACATGATTCTGCCTTGAACCATTGTCAATCTGTTATATTTTTGAATGTGTCAAGCCTGCGGGCTCCCCACACTCGTGCGTTCCTGTGGTCTCCAGGGAACATTGCCACGATCATCTCTTGGAATCTATGTGGCGTTGTATGCTGTTTGCAAGGGGGACAATCGGTGAATCGCTTTCTTTTGTGTTTTCTGCAGAAGGATACGATCATATTAGTTTACCAAGCTATACGTTCTTATAACCACCATTTACTTGTGCTACATTTCTATTATTTTTTTCTATTCTGTCTGTTGATTCCCCGTTCAATGTTTGATCCCATTGCTATTAGGTTTCAATGCCCAGGGTGTCATTTTCCAGACTACAATTTTTCAGTTCTTTTTATTCCTTTCTTTTCTCTCCATTCTAACATCTTTACTTTCTTTTTCATCTTTCATATAATGTCACCAATACAGCCGAAAAATATAGTATTTTACCTGTCAAAATTTCATCATATAATTTAGAGTGATTTAAAGTTCTCAAATCCAGATGAGGAGAACAGTAAATACAAAAGGAATTCTTTGTCATTCAGTAAAGTGATTTAAAGGCACTAATTCAATAGAATTATTTATCATCCCATTTTATATTTTTACCTTTCTGTAAAAAATATGTTGACAATTGCGGTTTAGGGAGGGCATTCTATATTGTCATAAAATTTGCTTAAGTACTTGTTAATAACAAAATAAATCGTTCTCTTTCTCAATGAAGCTGCCAATGAGTTTAGAGCAAACACTTTTGTCATTCCTGTGTCAAACTTTAGATTTTATTCAAAAAGTTATATGGTCATAAAATCCTACGATATTATATTAAAAAAACATCTACTTACTTGTGTTTCATTTTATGAAGTATGTATCTTAGAAAAATGTAATACTTGATCGTTTTCCTGATAATTAATATTAATCAGTTTAGAATTTTGTCTCTCAGCTCTTTCCTTTGCATTATTGTAATAATGTTTCCTGGGTATTTTTTCTGCATTATAAAATATCTTGATGTACACAATTCTATTGATGATATTTAAAAGCAATTTATGTTTAGAATTACACTCAACTATTTAAAAACAAGACAAAACTTTAGTCAAGATTGTTGTAAAAGAAACGCGTAGAATGAATATTTTCCACTTTTCAACTTGCAATGATTCTATGCATATTTCATATAAAAATTACTATTATACTGCGACATGTAGCTCCTTTCTTAACAATTGTGAGAGGAACTGTTTTACTATCAACGCAAGCTAGCGAATGGACTCACAGTTTGCAATTTAACAGGAACATATCATACGTATAACAAGTCTCCAAATTGGGTAATAGTGAAGAATTCTCTCTCTTATGTAGAAGAATACGTACTTTCTCATATTTATCTATGTCATATTAATTAATATCTTGTTTCACAAAATTGAGATATTTCAATGGTGGCTCGTGGTCCAAATTATCTTTTGAGAATATTTACACTTCTTGTCAGAGTTCGTACAAGTAGTCTTATTATTATTTTCTTTCCTTAAAGCACTCATACTGAAATTATATCAAAATAAACACGATTTCCTTGCGTGTTTATTCCATGAATTATGAGCTATCTCAACATTTGTTATGAAACTTCATTTGTTTTCGAAATTCATTTTGGTGAAAGAATAACTACGTATATATCTAAAATCCCTGATCTTGTTAATGTCATTGTGTCGAAAGCAATTATGTGCATTACCTAAGATTTAATTTCTACCTTTTGACACATCTGACTTAAAAATAAAATATTATTTATTGATGTATCTAGAGATAATATTAATCCATTATCATTGGATTGAAAACGCAACTACGCATTCAGAAATGACAGTTCTTCGAACGTTATCTTAGCCCATAGGATCCTCTTTTATATTATCTTAGATATCCCAATTTTGTTGCCTCTTTTACTTCATTCTTTATTTTAGAATCATTCCGGATATACAGCTCATTTGCCAGAATAAATAATATATTTTCATATAAATAATGTAAAGTACAAAATATAATTCGTGTAAATACATAGTATCTTGCCAAGTTAAAAAAAATGCACATCCAAATGCATAAAATAATTGAGGTGCTCTTCGTAAAAATATCATAGTATAAGCCAAAGAGCTGTTTTAAGAAAAACGGTGTTGAAGATTTTGTTTGTCTATATGAAGTTTATGGCTTTTGTTAATGGCGTAATAATGGCTGAAATATAAAAAATAGTAATTCAACAAATGTACACTGAAAAGCCAAAATACTGGTACAGCCATGCGTATTGAAATAAAGAGATCTGAATCAACGACTATATAACACAATCAGAGTCTATAGCAGTTGTTAAATCGGTTACTTCTGCTACAATTGCAGGTTATCACGCTGTGAGTTTGAACGTGTTATAGTTGCGCAAGAGCGATGGGGCATAGCATCTGCGAAGTCGCGATGAAATTTGGATTATACCATACGACCATTTCACGAGTGTACGGTGAACATCGAAAATCCGGAAAATCATCAAACCTCCGACATCACTGCTGCCGCAGAAAGATCGCGCAACAACGGAACCTGAAGAGACTGAAGAGAATCATTACACGTGTCAGAAGTTCAACCCTTCCGCAAATTGGCAGATTTCAATGCCGGGCCACCAAGTGTCAGCGTGCGAAGCATTCAATGAGACATTATCGATATGGGGTTTCGGATCCGAAGGCCTACTCGTGTACTGCACGACACAAAGGTTTACGCATCGCCTGGGCCCGTCAACACCGTCATTGGGCTGTTGGTGACTGGAAACACGTTGCCTGGTCTGACAAGTCATATTGTTTCACATTGTTTTGAGCGGATGAACTTGTACGAATATGGCGACAACCTCATGGACACTGTATGTCAACAGAATACTATTGAAGCCGGTGGAGGCTCTGTGATGGTATTGAGGCGTGTGCAGATGGAGTGATATAGGTCTCCTGATATGCCTAGATACGACTCTGACGGGTGACTCGTGCGTAAGCACCTTGTCGAGATCACCTACATCCATTCATGTCCATTGTGCATCCGACGGACTTGAGCAATTCCAGCAGGACAATGCGACAGCCCACACTTTCAGAATTGCTACAGAGTTGCTCCAGGAACAAATTTCTGATTTTAATCACATATTCTGGCCACCAAAGTCCTCAGACATGAACATTATTGGGCAATCTCGAATGCCTTGCAATGTGCTGTGCAGAAGAGAACTCCGTCCGCTAGTACTCTTATGGACAGCACTGAAAGATTCTTGGAGTGAAATACCTCCAGCACTACTTCAGTTATTAGGCGAGTTCATGGCACGTCGTGTTGCGGCACTTCTGCGTGCTCGTAGGGGGCCCTACACGATATTAGGCAGGTGTATCAGTTTTCTCGGCTCTTCAGTATATTATATTCATTAAAAAGAAAGACATAACTCTTTTCTTGTTAGAAAATAATAATTTGTATGCAGGTTATTTTGTGCCCTTTTTTCGTAGAACAAGTTTTAGGTCTTAAGTCTTGAAGATAAATTATTCATCTTAAAGGCTTAATAAATATTGGTAAAATTTTGGTCTGTTAAGCATTACGCCTGCCCTTTCCAAAATTCACATGGTCGGCAACTAGCTATCCAAAACTAAATTTCTTCTAACGAGATGTAAAACCTAAATTCATTTGAAATTCTCTGGGAATGCCAGTGCCTATTAAATGTTTTATGTTTCAAACATGATGTTTACGTCACATATTTCTTTTCTCACTGTGTACTCATCACAATTTATTCCAAATTATTCTAAAATTTACCAATAATTCAAGAGTTACAATATTGTGTGTGGCAATATTAATATCATAGATAAACACCTGATATTAAATGAAAAAGAGCGGTTCTTTATTTGGTATACATACACAAGTTT